GGTTGGGTCCGGAGAGATGAGGATTGTCGTTGGTTAGAGACGCTGAGAGATATGGCCCAGAATAGAAGTCAGTGGCGCGAATGCTGTACCGTCTGTCTATCAAAATCCCGTGCCCCGTAAAAACCACAAACAACAAAATATTTCAGAAACTGTACGGTGAAACAAAGAAAAGTTTGTTCTTCTCATTTTGGAATTTGAATTTCTAACCCACTTTGTACTGCTTTGTATCCCAACCATCCATGTTGTGTTGTTCTTGTGCAGCGTTAGAGTACTTAAATGTGCTTTCGGGCAGTTCGAAGAAGCACCATTCCCACGCTTGTTATCAGCGTTCATTCGCCCACACGTGGAGTACGCCGTTCAAATACGGAATCTATGGTCGAAACGCGACAAGAAGCCCGGAGAATGTCCACAAAGGTTGGCAAAGGAATTGGTAAAAGGTGTGTTTTTAAGCTTCAGAACAGTCACCTTGATTGCCGGAATCACTCGTTTGCAGTCAGAGTGTGCGGTGTGGATGAAATTCTCTTCCATCCCGTGTAGTGTGTGCTCCTACAGTTCAACCATTTGAATAGCAACTTGATTAAGCTTTGGAACACATACCATTTCGACATCCATGATTCATCAATGCATGGGAAGTTATTCAAAATATTCTGTAAAAGTCCTATGGGGCATGATAAGCTTTAGTTTTGTTAAATCGCCCAAAATAAAACTTTGACTTTGACTTTTATACAAAACTCATCTCTGCCCGATGCTCGACTACTGCAGTCACGTATGGGGTGGAGCTTCGTATTCCGATCTTCGCCTCCTAGACCGTGTTCAACATAGGGCCATCAGGCTGATCAACGAAACGTCTTTAATTTTCGACCAGCGGCCAATTCCCCATTACCGATCAATTGTATCCTAATCTTTTTCAGTTTCTGCTCTTCTGATCCCGCTTCAGTGACTCCCCTTCCCTTGGCCTCTTCTCGTCCATTTCGTTCTCAGACGGGCATTCACTCTTATCATATTTCTGTCCCCAGATGTCGAACCTCTATCTTCTAATCATCTTTTTTACCCAGGACAGTGAAATTGTGTAACACTGTTCCCATCTCCCTATTTTAATCACCTATGATCAAAAGCAAGATGAACAAATTGTTTCTCACTTGAATGTTCCTCCACTCATACCTTCTCTCGCATAGTATGCCATGGACTATAGGGTTTACTACTTTTGCGGTATGTCAATTTGTGCGTAATAAAAAGGCTCATCACTGTTCCCAATGGTAGTCATTGACCTTTCACGGAAACTGAACTCCCGCGGCATAAATCCGTTCAACACGAGGTCTCTGACTCAGTCACACACACACACACACACACAAACACACACACAATCCATGCTCAGTGAAGAGCTTACCTCCGTGCAAATCCAAATCTGGCTTATCCCGATCGAAGTGGTTCTGACCCACACTGATCACTGTGGTCGCAGGTAAAATCAGTCGACGATGACATCCCGGTCGGGGACAATTGACCGAATGTGTATAAATGGAGACCAGAATGAGACGACCACAATCGCAACGAAAAAATCTTCGATCTGTCGGAGGTGGTCGGGATGGCTAAACACGTGTAGACCAAGTTTGGGGGAGAAAATTAGCCAGACCGTACCGGTTTATCCCCATTCAAATGATCATTGTACAAATATCCGGAGAACATCTCTACTCACATTTGACTCTACCGAGGAAACACAAAATAAAATGGCAAGTATGCCGTGAAAAATAAAATATATTTTGTGATCAGCACTCCAGATTTCCGTACCTCAGAAGTACTAAGAGGAAAGGTGGTTTAATATGACCATATCAAATAGAAGGTTCAGTGATGACTACCCGGGCATGTATCTGATCGCGTTCACTCGGTGTAGTTAACGGTCTGAACATGAAACACGGACATGACAGATTGCATTTGGAAAATGAATGAAACAAACTGAAATAAAACTGCGAAACAGTTTTGTGGACTTTTGTACAATTGAGGACGACAACAACAATAATTTGACCTCATTTACGAACTAAAGACAGATCAGTTGTGATGATTCAACCCTCCCAGATGACACCAGCCAAGCGCCTAAGAGCTCCAGTTTCCGGACATTGGGCCATGGACCAGCAGTATCGATCAAACAACAGCCATACAATTTAATCAGAATTCGTGGAACGCGAAAAACGAGAAAGGTGATTGGTGGATATTCGCTTAAACTATGATATTTTTATTTGCATATTACTAAATCCCAATGATTTCTTTCAATAAATGAACCACTATTTAGGTAACCTTTTTACTGCTTCTCGTTGACAGGAGATTCTACCGTATAATTGCTGGTGTGATTCAGTGCTTCAGTTGCTTCGGTGATTTGTGATCCTCAACTGCTTTAATAACTACATCAGGTTACAGAGGAATGGCTGATTTACGATGAAAAGATACGAAGATAGAATTGTTCACCTTTGTTTACCCACATCGCTGAACTGTTTAGATCAGTTCATTTGGACCTATCGCTCCCAAATTGTCGTCTCATAATTACGTTTTCGGAGGACTGCTACTGAACTGGATTGAGAAATTTCTTCGACAACATACCGTATCGGTTCAAGTTAATGATTCTCTGTCGGGACCGATTGAGACTGTCCCTGGAGTTCGACAAGGATCCGTACTTGGTCCGTACCTTTTCTTAGCATTCATAAACGATCTAGCACATGTCATTGGCTGTCCTTGTCCAAAACATAGAGGACGGTAAAATGTCCTGAAGATTATGAAACCTTGCAGGAAACTCTCAACGCAGCTTATCGATGGTCCATCATTAATGACATCGAATTGAACGTTAAAAAATCCAAGATTGTATCGCTGCCATTGCCGCGTTCTCCAAACGAAAAGGACCTGGGAGTTATCGTTTGTGAGAAACTAGGATGTTCTACACATTGCACAAAAGCGTCTTCAAAGGCTATAAAACACGTTGGATTGCTAAATGGTGTTTTTGGATCATTCGAAACAGACCTATTGCCCGCTTTATTGTAAGTATACATTATACCACACACCGAGTATGCTATACAGACTCGGAATCCATGGCTGAATCGCGACCAAAAGGCACTCGAATATCCGCAGAGAACAAAGATCAAAATGGCCAAAGGGTTACAATCTAAGACCTACGGTGAAAATCTGTGACTTATCGGGCTCTATTCGTCTGGATACCGTCTAATAAGGGGCGACATGATCCGTGTTTATCAAATACTACATATATATTATATATATTTACCACCAGCTTGAAAACAAGCATGGTGCCAACGCAACAANGGGGATAGGTGGATTAAGATACACAACATGGTGAAAAGTGGGTGAGACAGTTAAACATGGAAAATACAAGATAA